CAGAACCAGAATCGGTAGTCTTCACTCGACGCCACAGCCGACATTTGTGGTGAAAGCAATTAACCGTATTTTAGTTTGGTTATTATGGTTCATAACGAACTGGTATGACTTTTATCCTTGATTAATCATAACTGGAATTTGTGCATACTGGTTCAGCTTTTCACTGCAGGGCCGTTGCGACTGTTGGAGCACCGCGAGCATACTTATGGCTGGTATTGTCACTTGCGAAGCGAATAAATTTGGCGAAGCGAACGGTTTGGCGAACACACCTAAAATTTGCATTGTGAGTGGCGAATGAACTTTTTCGCCGGACATGCGTCGTTGCCATTCAAACAAACTAAATGAGTTCATCCTCATTTGACGTTTCTGTCATTTATACTTCGAATTCCTTGTTATTACAAACTAAAATTTGAAAAGCAAAATGTTTTATAACGTAGATTTATATTTTGAGGATAGTTATAATGTTGAACCGCGAGCTAACCTTCTTCGTCAGCGGCGTTTTATTAGAGATTACTCTAATCCTATGGAGCTGCCGTCCACAGTGTAAGTATCCAGTGCAGATAGGTTATTCAATGAAACATGAAAAATNATTACTCTAATCCTATGGAGCTGCCGTCCACAGTGTAAGTATCCAGTGCAGATAGGTTATTCAATTAAACATGAAAAATGTATGCATATATGAATATGTATTTATAGATTTATAGCGAATTTTCGGCTAAGCAAGGACGCTTTTATGTATGTGCTGGACAAAATCAAGGACAAATTTAATTGCCGCCTGTCCTCATCTGTAACGCCAATGCTAAAATTGTGTTGCGCACTGAGATTTTTTGCGCATGGCAGTTATCAGCAAGCTGTAGGAAATGAATTTCAATTGGGTCTTGCGCAACCTACAGTTTCGCTCATTTTAAAGGAGGTATTGCCCATTTTAGAAAGAGAAATTTGCAGTGCTTCGATAATCACAGAAGTGACAGAAGAAGAGAAGCAACAGGCAAGGAGCAAATTTTTCTCCAGATCAGGAATACCCAACGTAATTGGCTGTGTTGACGGAACACATATTGCGATTTATGCCCCCACCGCAAATAGACACCTCTATCTAAATAGAAAAGGCTTTTTTAGTATAAATGCTATGATTGTAAGTTTTTAAGATATGAATACAGCAACACCCATAAACAAATTGTATATTAAAGGCTTGCGATCATGACATGAATATCCGGTTTGTGGATGCTAGATATGCTGGTTCTACACATGATTCGTTCGTGTGGAACAATAGTTCATTAAAGACTTATTTGGAGAATATGCATCAAAGTGGCGATCATAACTCTATTTATTTAGGTACTTTAAATTTGTTACATCGGCACAAAATTAATGTAAATACTATTTTAAAACAAACACTACTTATTTATAGGTGATTCCGGATACCCGCTTAGTCCTTATTTACTAACAGCCGCCATGCAGACTCTGGAACTAGGGAGTCAATTAGAAACGTCGTTGAACGTACGATCGGAGTTTTGAAATGTCGCTTTCGA